AGCAAAAGAGAACAAGATAAAATTATTGAAAGCAAAAGAAACAAAATAGAAACAAAGAGAAAGAATGTACACTAACTCACTGCTGTAGGAATCACGGATGCATTTAGCGTATGCATCAAGCCCTTTAAACCCCTATGTCGCCAATGAGGACGAGTAAGCTCTCGTGAGGGTTTCCTAAGAGGTTTAACACACAACTCTTGGAAACACCCAAGCAAGGCAAGGCAAATAAAAACAGAGAAAAAGAAAATAGAACAAATGGACTTAAATGGACAAAGAGATAGAAACAATCACCAATGAATGCGAAACTTTCTAAATAGACAAATGTATGCACACTCCAAGATGTCAATGGTTGATTGAAAGATAAACTATGATAAGGATAGAGAGCTCTAACATGCTCCACTCCCCCAGCATTCCATACATTCTTACCGCGTTCCCTTATCTAGATGCAAATCCACCCTTCAAGGTAACGTCTCATGACTCCACGAAGGAGCCGGAACAAAGGTAAAACAATACAAAATAGGGAAACCCGACATCTTACGAAGTCATGCCTTCTCCATATGCTTGAAGTCTAGCTCCCTCCACCGATTAATGACTCAACTAATCCAAGTCAAAAGCACTTTAAAAGGGGTTGTAATGTAGGCTAGGGGCAAAGTTGAGGAAAAATTTTAAAATTTTGGTGGTATCTCCTAAGTGAAGCAAAAGAGCAACCGTCTCTCAAAATCGAACTCTTGTAATCACCAAAACATCAAACAAATGTGCCAAACTATCATCTCCCCCAACGTTATTCATCAAACACTCTAAACGCAAACTAAGAACCACTCCCCCAAGCTTGAATGGAGCATAGTCCTTAATGCTCAAGGTAAGGAGAAACAATCACAACTAAAAATGGTTTTATTGACCTTTTTTTTTCTTTTTTTTTTTATTGCACTTTTCTCAAATTTTTTTTTGTGCTTATTTCTTTTGTATATTCTTGTAGCATTTGCTAATCAACTAAATATACAAATCTCAACCTTGTCATACACTTTGAACTTAAACAAACATGAAGTCACTTTCATCATCAAAACCAACATCCAACAAAAATTTGCTTCACAAAACTAAGGGTAAAGGTCGTAAGGCTTGTAATGAGGCTAGTAACTAATAAAGTAAATAAGCTCAAAGGGGTAGCAAGAGGGTGAATGCAAATTAAAACAAGAATGTAACAAAATAAAAGGAACATAAAAGAAAATGAAAAGGTGCCTTTGTCCTTCCTAGATTTAGTTCGGTCGCGATCTTAGGTACCTCGACGTCAAGTTCTAGATCTAAGCATGCCTTGTTAAGGATCCTATGCCACTCATACAAAGAATTGTAGGAGGCTTGAACAATAAAGTTCACATCGAGTTTACAAAAACTACCTTTAGGGCTTCAAATCCCCTAATGAGAGCAACACCTTCTTACCATAAACAAGCAATTTGGGTTCGATGGGCCTTACAAGTTCTAAACCGGCTACATAGACATATCCTAAAGTCAACCCATGACACTCTCAAACCGTGCAAACATTTACCACTTAGGATGGTACACAATCAAGAACACAAGTCCAATCAAGAAATGTCCAAAATAAGAACAAACAAAACACATTTTTGCTAAACTTGCTTTGAAATAAACAAAAATCTTTTTGGATTTTTCATAATATAAGAAAAGACATGGAAATGCATTTACTCAAGTGCATGGCATATATGAATCAAAATCCCACCGAACATGATAGAATACCCTCCCCCAAGCTTGAATGAGACCAAGCTCTCAAATCATAAACAATGAAACCAAGGAGGGGAAAACATGGAAAAATTAATCCAACTTTACCAACACATGATCTTCAAGTCACAATAAGTAAGAGAGAGGGAAAAGAAGGATATTACCGGACATGGAATAAATGCAAAATCACACAAAAACCCGAAATAACCTCATAGGAGCCACAATCTCTACAAATAAGGCTTGAACTCTACATGATAGGCAAGTTGAGGTAGATTTCCTTGATTCATGATCATCACCAATGCGCAAGAGTATATTATCAAGTTGTGTACCTAACAAGGAACACAAACACGTCCATGAGAGAAAATCTATTCTAAAAAGAAAAGAAAATGAAAGCAATTAAACACGGGTTACTTCCCGCAAAGGCTTGTTTAACGTCCAAGCGAGACCGCTCTAGGAAATAATAGTTCAACGCACGCAAGAGCTTGTCAAATGCACTATTACACATTTCATGGGGGTGACAGTAGGCAAATGACGGAAAGAGAGCGTGCAACAAGATCATTCCACACAAGGGAGAAGGGAGATGCCAAAAGAATGAAGAAGATGGATCGAAAGGAAACTCAAGAAAGTAAGAAGTAGAAGAGGGAAAAGAAGAATGGAAAGAAAAGGAAAAAGGCAAATCCTCCTCACAAAATTTTTGGTTGACAAAATTCCTCTTGTCCTCAACAATGATGGAATGAGGGACATAAATATCTTCCATAGAATGCGACTCCCTAATAGGCTCTTTGAGATAGGAAGGGAGAGAAATAGAGAAAAAGGGGTGTGAGAAACGAGAAAAGGGGTAGCTACTCCCTCACCACAAGGTCTCACATCGCCAATAAGGGCATGAAAATCAATCATAGAATCTTGAAATGAAGGGCACTAATGATCTACACTTCCCTCAAGCTAAAAAACTCTAAGGGAATCAACCTCAACCTCCTTTTCACCACAATAAACAACCTTTCCTTCAACTATCTCAAAACCTAAGGTCTCAAACTCGTACATGAATGGAGGTAGATTCATATCAAACTCATCTAAGTCCCATGAAGCGTTCTCAATGAAATCATCAAAAAATCTATAAGTCCTCATATAACTCTCGAAAAATATGTGGGACATTACCTCAAAAGAGTATATATAGTAATAGATTGAAGGGTCACAAACATACACTTTAGACTCATCAAGAAGGTAGAGGGGGTTAGGGGTCACAAATTCAACATTAGCTTCATTCTCAACTCCTTAACCATCACTCAAATGCTCTCTAATGGGATCCTCATTCATATGGGGGAAGGGAGAAGAAGGAGGGGCAAAGCTCGAGATTGAGCTAGGTAGGAGATCTGGCTCTCAAGCATCTTCATTCTAGCTTCCGTCTCCCTATTCTCAACTTCCCTCCTCTCATTATCCTTCTCCCTTATCTCATTATCCATCTCCATCATCTTCATTAACTTCTCCATAATCTTTTCTTTCCTTAAATTTTCCTTAGAATTACCCTCATAAAAAGTTTCATTAGAAGAATAAGGGAAATCATTTGGAGCCATGTAAGAACAAGAAGATCAGGAGGGAGGATCATTCACATTATAAACATGAGCATCATCATATTGGGGAGAGGGGGCATAATCAAGCGAATAAGATTCATCATCAACAATAGGAGAATAAGAGTTGAAATCACTTGTTCTAGGTTCACATACGGGATCACAAGACAAATCATTGGGATTCATGCCACCAATATAACCATTATCAAATTAAGAATAAAAATTAGCAACATTACATGCCCTATTGCGTACATCCTTAGCAAACCATGCAAAAACGTTCCAAGCACTATGAACCGTCAATGCTCAAAATTCGCCATTAAACCTACTTTCAACTTCATATCTCGTTTGTTCATTTATGCCATAATAACAAATCTAATTAAAAGACCTCTTTGAAACTATTTGCTATGTAAAAAACCTCTTCTCCATGGTTCTTCATCTTTGATTGGTTTCTTCATCAATTTTGGATTTCAATGGATAAGAAGAAGAAGCAGACTACTTCTACACCTCAAGTAGCGCAACAGAAGACTTCTCATGAAGCTTTTGATTCGATTTTGCGGAATTTGAGAAACTCAGGTACATCTTTCGTTCCTAGTCCGATTCAAGAGGTGGATGAATTGATTACTCTGCGCGCCAGCGTTAGTGCACCCAGCTTGTGGAGCTATTCCCAGAAGTGATGCTGAGACCATTTCTCTCTTTGCTGAAGCTACTGCTAGGCCGGATTTAAGACATTCCAATGGAACAGTACCTAGGGTTTCTGGGTTTACTGTTCCATTGGATGTTGGTGGATCTGAACATCGTGCTGAGCCAGAAATTCATCCTCGCCATTCCTCACCCTCTTTGGAGCTGAACACGCATAAGCATAGTGAGGATCGGGCTGCTCCTTCACCTGCTCCGGAGCTGAATTCGTGCAAAAACAATGAGGATCGAGCTGCTCCTTTTACTGGGAATTTGGCTACTAAAGGGGCTTCTCTGTCTTTTGTTGCTCCGAAAGTCCAGGAAGGGAAACAAATTGCTGAGCTACAGGCAGCCGAGCTTGAGGCAGGTAATCAAAAATGGGCTAATGCTTTAGTTTTCTATGTGGTTGGTTTTTACCCCACTATTGCTGCTGTTCTTCGATTTTTTGCTTAACAATGGAATGATATGCAAAAACCAGATGTTTATTGGCATGATGATGGGTACTTTATCGTTAATCTTCTAGTGATGATAAAGATACTATACTTTGTTCTGGTCCTCATATGTTCCTTGGAAAACCAGCAATAGTGAAGCCTTGGTGTCCTAATTTGATTTTAATGCTGAAATTCTTAGAACTGTTCCTCCCTCTGAGTTAAGTTCCCTAATCTCCCACTTAATTGTTGGGTATCTGACACTCTTAGCCGCATTGGTAGTTTGCTTGGAGTGCCAATTTGTGCTGATGAGTGTACTACTAGACAACTTAGCCGCATTGGAACAAATTATGTGTGTTCTGCTGAAGGAAAGAGAAATTCAGGTTACAAGAAAACAAAGTTAGTTGAAATGGTTAATGAAGAGGATGTGAATGTGAAAACAAGAAAGCCAAGACAAGTAGCCATTACAAGATCAAATTGCAAGGCATGCATAAGAGCAAAAGTGAATAAAGAAGGAAAGTTTGAGGTAGTGGCTCATGTTATTCAGCATAACCATGAGCTAACAAGGTCATAGTGGCATTATTTGCATCATTCTGAAAGAAAAATGACAGAAGAAAAAGCTGAAGCAATAAAAACAATGAAATCTTCAGGTCTAACTACAATGGACACTTACAATTACATGGCTACAGAGGCTGGAGGAGAACAGAATATAGGTCATAGTGTTGTAGATCACCTGAATTTTTGCTCAAGGTTAAGAATGGAACAAATTGAGGCTGGAGATGCTCAAACTTTAGTGAACATTTTAAATCAGGAACAATCAAAGGATCCAAACTTCTTTTTTAGAGTTAAGTTTGGCAAGGAAGGAAGAATTTCCAATATCTTTTGGAGAGATTCAATGATGCTAGAAGACTATAGGATATATGGAGATGTGCTTGTCTTTGATACAACATACAGAACCAACAGATATAATCTTATATGTGCTCTATTTGTTGGAATAAATAATCACTGGCATAATTGTATGTTTGCATGTGCTTTTATTCGGGATGAAAAAACAGATTCATTCGTTTGGCTACTAGAAACATTCTTGAAAGCTATGGAGAATAAAAAACCAACTCCAATATTCACTGATCAGGACCAAGCAATGGCAAATGCAATTGAGCAGGTAAAAGATTTATATTTACATTTTACAGATTTTAAATTCTGACAATAATGTTTTCGTTTTCCCATAAAGTTACCCTTTTAAATGCATAAAGTTACCCTTTTAACAGCATAAAGTGACCCTTTTAACAGCATAAAGTGACCCCTTTATTTTCAATGTAGGTGCTTCCTAATACAAGGCATAGACTTTGTATCTGGCATTTGGAACAAAATGCTATAACCAGATTTGGAGCTCTTAAAAAAGACAAAGAATTCAAGTATGCATTCAACCAGTGTTTAAAGATGTGTGTGACAGAACAAGAATTTGAAGCAAAATGGCAAGCAATGATGCAAAAAGATGAGTTGACAGCACACTCTTGGTACCAAAGAGTGTACGAGTTGAAAGAGAAATGGTGTCCTGCCCTTAGTAGAGATTTCTTTTCAGCAGGAATCTTATCGTCACAAAGGAGTGAAAGCACTAATCATGCAATAGGATTCAGAGCAAGTAAAGCAACTACCTTGACAGAATTTTATACCATATTTAAGAAAACAATCAATCGTTGGAGAAGCACAGAGAAATATGATGAGTTTACCTGTAGCAAGTCAATAGCATTCACTTCATTGCCACTATCTGGAATGCTAAAACATGCTGCTCAGGTAAAAAGTTAACTGACAAGTACATAATTTACACATAAATTATACCAGTTTAAATGTAGCTAAACGATTTTGGTGAACAGGTTTTCACTTTGTCACTCTTTAGAGATTTTGAAGAGGAGTTTGGATATTCTATGGCAACAACTGTTCAAATGATTGGAAGAAATGAAGAATGTCTACTCTATCAGGTAGCCCTGGAAGACAAGCCATGGTCTGCACATCAAGTAAACTATATACATGAGAGCCAGAATGTATGGTGTACTTGCAAAAATTTTGAAGCATCTGGATGGTTATGTTATCATTGCATCAGCATTCTACACTTGCATTCAGTAACAAGAATACCAGACAAGTATGTTTCAAAAAGATGGACTAAGTTTGCAAAAACAGAGGCATGGGATAGGTTGAAGAATCAGGATCCTACACATCAATATATTCCATGGAGACAAACAATGATAAGGAAATACTACAATCTAATCTTAAAGAGTCAAGAAAATGAAGAAACAAGATAATTTATGGAAGAAAGTTTCAGAAACAGTCTTAAAATGGTGGAAGACTTACTTGCTAGTGTTGCCCAGAGAAAAAGTGCAGAAGCTGCTTCTAATGTTCCTGATGTGGCAGACAGCAATCACAGCAATGATGATGTTTCTTCGGCATCGAGTACAAGCACAAGTGTACCAACAATACTTGATCCACAAAGGGCTGTAACAAAAGGTAGAAGCAAGAGAGCAAAAAGAGGTCTTGAAAAAAGCATTACTGCCACCTCCACATTCAGAATTTGGATCTAAAACACCTAATTTGAGACTCTTTTAGGAACTTTTTTAGATCATTTTTTAAAAAAAAAATTAATGTAATTTGTATTCTAAAACTATATATATTTTTTTATATGTGACTAGTTTAATGAATATGTGATTGACACTATTATTAGCATATCTTTATTTAGTTAAACGTTTAAATTAAGAGTGACCCTTTTAACAAAAAAATGAACCCTTTTTAAGCAAAAAGTGACCCTTTTAACAGAAAAAAGTGAACCTTTAACTGAAAAAAGTGACCCTTTTCACATAATAAACCATTTACATAAAAGTAATTCTTTTCATGAATAAAAGTGATCCTTTTTCTAAATAAAAGTGATCCTTTTCATAGCTAAAATTACCCTTTATAAAAACAAAGTCTACATTTTTCTTGTTTAAAAGTTACCCTTTCTATAAATAAAAGTTACCCTTTTTCTGCATAAAAGTTACCCCATAAAAAACAGAAAAAAAAACCCCTGACCCTTTTAATTTACAGAAAAAAGTGACCCTTTTCACATAATAAACCATTTACATAAAAGTGAACCTTTTCATGAATAGAAGTGACCCTTTTTCTACATAAAAGTGACCCTTTTCATAGCTAAAGTTACCGTTTCTAACAATAAAATCTACCTTTTCTTCCTTAAAAGTTACCCTTTCTATAAATAAAAGTTACCCCATAAAAAACATAAAAATAAACCTTTTAATTATTTTATGTATGCACATACATCAGTATTCCAAAAACAACTAAAGACTTTAAACTAAGTTTAATTACATCATTGAACTTAATGTATGCACATACATTAAGTTTTTTCATTGTTAAAAAAAAAACCCCTGACCTAATCAGCTAACAACTATCAATTATTTCACTATTTAGAAGGAGTAAATTTTTTTGCCTGCTTTTTTGCCCTTTTTCCTTTGGTCTTTTCCTCTTCTCCCTTCGCCTTTGCTTCTGCTTCTGCTGCCATTTTTCTTTCTTCTGTTTCTCTCTTCTTCTTCGCAGCAATTGCAGCCTTTAATCTTTCTTCAATTCCATTGACATAAGCAGGATCTTTCTTCTTCTCGTTAAACTTGTGTAATTCTGACAACACATCATTCCTAGAGTCATTCAAATCACACAGCACCAGTGTGGTACAGATCTCTCCTCGTAAAAATTTCCTTCCATTAATCTCACAACAGCAAAAAAAAAATTATCAATATGTAATTAATAAAAGCATTAGAAAGGAAAAAACTACAGAAACTATATAGATAATTACTATTTTGAGTTCATTTAATTTGAACGATTCACCAACAAAATGGAGCATGTGATACATGACAAAGACCCCACAGTCCAAATTGTCAACTTTTTCTTTTCTCCATTCCAACTCAACAACTTCAAAACCATAAGAAGGTAGCTGAGAACTCTTTGGATGATTTCTTTTGCCAAGAAAAGCACCCATTTGAACACACTGACATAAAATAAAAGTTTAGAATACATTAAAATCAAAAAAGTTAAAATGGAAACAATGAATCAACAGTAACATAACAAAAAAACAAACACAAACATACCATGTTTGAACACAATTCTTTTGTATAAACAAGAGCAGAATCAGTCCAAATAATGTTGTCAAGATAATATACCAACTCTTTTGTATGATCAATAACATACAAAATGTAGTGATTCTCAATAAGAACAAGAAAATAGATCTGAAAGAGAAAAATTAAAAGAGATTTAAACAGAGCATATCATAAACAGAACTCTTTAAAATTTATTACATTAAGTTTAGCATAAATATACCAGATCAGCATCCATTATATCACATTCTGGATTCTCATAGCTAACCCAACCTTCCCATAGGTCGTGCAAATCCTTAACAACACTAGAAATGTTACCTTTGCCAATATTGTCACAAACATGCAAGAATGCAAACTATTAAAGTATAAGATTTCAATAATATATATATAAAGTAAATGTGTTAAAATATTAAAAAAAAAAAGAATGAAATAACTTACACTCTTCCTAACACCGAAGAAGAATTTTCGAGGACCAATAGCCTGAAAACATGCTTTCTCATTCAAATACAGACGGAAGCAATCAATAATGCACCATCAAATCCTGAGTGGAGCAACAAGGGACACCATGTCTTCTCTTTAAATTAAAAAGTTCATTCCAAAAGTAACAAGGCTCTCACTGAAACAATAAAAAATAAGATCAGCATTAAAAATAAAAAAAAAAACAAAAAAATATAAGGAAAAAACAGATAAAAAAATAATTATAATAAAAAAGGACACTTAACTTCCTATCCATTGAAACATCCTTCAGCAAACAATAATCGAGAATTTCCAAATGTAACTGAGGCAAATTCCTGAAAATCAGAGCATTGCTCTTTACAAAAAGAGTTACAAAAGGCACCTGCACTGTAATACTCTAATATTTCAATACTCTATCTATATATTTATAAAGAAAATTTTGGTTAAGTTTTTACTCTCTCTTAAATTTACAAGTAAGTAATTTTTTCTACTTTAAGTTTCGAGGTCGAAACTTGTTTTAAGGAGGGTAGATTGTAATACCTAAATTTTTATATTTTAAGTTTCGAGGACGAAACTTGTTTTAAGGAGGGTAGATTGTAATACCCGAATATTTTATGATTTTATATAATATATTTTATTAAAAAAATAGTTTATTTTTATTTATTAAATAACTTTCCAAATCTCATGTTTTTATTTTAGAGTTTGGAAAGGTTTAAAACCCTATGTTAATTTAAGTAGGACTCTTATTTTATCTATATTATTTATTTTAAACCCTAAAAGTTTTATGAATAGTCAGTGCAGCTGTGACTCTTATTTAAACTTTTATCCTTGCAAATCACTTCCACTAACCTTGCCTCTTTGTTTCACGCTTAGCACCTCAATTCATGGGGATCAATTGATGACTTTTGACTTGATGATTTCAATATATATGCAAGTGCATTAGCAAGTTGAAAAAGCCATATGTGTGTGTGTGCAGATAGTATTGTTATTCATGCGTGACCTTAGTTTCATTATTAATAAATCTTGGAGTTTTATTTTTCGGAAGGTAATCACACTATCAACTCTTAATTAGATCGTTTGTTTATAATTTGATTGTATTATTTATTTTATGTAATCACACTCGTTATTTGTTATACGTGATCACACTAAATTTCAGAGATGTTTGTATATTTCGTATTATTATTATGTGTGATATGATTTATCAATGGTACTCCTTGTATATATGATTAATTATTATGATATTGTAATGATTTGATTTGATTTGATTTGATTTGTATATTATATTACTTTTGTTGTATATAATTGATTGTACAATTATTTCTAGGGTTTTAATGTTGTTGTTATAGGGAGTATTGTTTTATCAAGGTTTTAGAATTGTTAATGCAGAGTATTATTTTTGGGTTGAGATATGATTATATTTGGGTTATTAGTATGTGTTTTAAGAGTTGAGATATTATGAATCGAATTGTCATGTTAATTGGGAACATGTGCCATTATTGAGATACTATTTATTGTGTACGAATAATTATTTGATCGATGTATGAGATCAAAATGTTGAGGATTATTATTTTGTTATTGGTTTGAGACTCGGCGTTATAGACCTTAGTACTTGGCATGTTGGTAATGAGATAATGATCATGAGTTAAGAATGAGGTACAATCTTTATTAATTATTTTTCTATGGTCCCCTACAGTGGGAATTGGCCCGTATGTGGTTTGGTTCAAGGTGTTTTTTTTTGTTATTGAGAGTATTCAAGTTTTTATACTTGTTGGTTTTATTCAAATTACCCATGTCCAAGGCTAGGTATAGAACAACGAGCATGGCACACTTATGGGTTATATGAGTTGATTGAGTAAAGGTTCGAACTATTAATCGAGGTTGAGTTGTTAAAGATTATTTTCAGAGTACAATGTGTTATGTAGTTTTGAACTACATTATTTAATTGAGCTAGTAACGTTGATTATCCTATTATACTCTATATTCTGATATGTGGTGATTACTCAGCTTTTTGCTGACGTGTGTGTTTGTTTTTGTTCTGTTACTTGTGTTTGCGGCCATGTCTTTTTCTTATGGTGGCCCTGCGACGGTCTATTTTGGAATTTTTCCTTAATGGTGAGCAGTCAAGATTTTTTAAGCAGGTTGATCAAGTGGTCGTAGCTAAAGGAGCTCAAGTGTTTCGATTAGTGTGATGTCATGAGTTTATATAGTTGTATAAATAGCTCACCTAGTTTGTTGGGTTGTAATTATTGGGATTTTGTAAGCCTTAACACTTGACAGGTTGTTGAGTGTGGCGGTAATACCTCCGATTTAGGAGTATGCTTCCGCAATTTTATTTAAAGGTTGTTTATTTTTCCTTTATTTATTGTTTATTATTAGCTAGTAAATCGGGGGTGTTACATGCACACCTACTGGTCCACAGTCCAGAGAGCATAGAGATTTATTTGCTCAGAAGATACGTCGAGGAGGTTCATTTTGATCAATATGCCCGACAAGAATATTTTCAGTAGGACCAGGAATGATAGCAGAAGGTCCAGAACCATTAAGGCCTTCATTAACTATTTTTCCATGACCATTGTCATCATCCTTAGGAATATTTTCATTGAAACCTTGTGCAGGTTCTTTTTAAGGAACAACATCTTTGTTACCTTTTGTAGGTTCATAAAAACCGCGAAACAAATCCTGTACAGACTTCATTTTATTACACTCATCAATTA